TTTAAAAAAAATTGTGAAAATGTATTTTTAATATTTTTCAACTGCTATTATAACAATAATCAGGAACATTGCATTAAATTTTCAAGCTTTTTAAACCATCAAATAAAATGTTATTGATATCTATAGAAAAAAAAAATAAAAAACTAAAAACTGACGATATCCGTAAACAGCTCAAAAAGAGTAAAGTTATTTTCAAAATTTTATGTGTATTGAAAATGCTAATATAAATATTCAGTGTAATTTTCAAGTATCTACGGTCATTCGTTTTTTAATAACAAAAAAATAAGAAAATCGTTACATGAGAAATCGAGTGAATATCAAATGTTGTAAAACAGATTTTTCGTTTTTTTTTCCTAAAAAGTTTTGACAGACACAAAAATAAAAAATTAATTAAAAATTAAAAAAAAAACACATATCGTTGTAAAATCAATACATTTATCGCTCCACTCAAAATCAAAAACTAAGCATTTTATATGCTTTGGAATTACAATATTTTTTTCCAATTCATTATTATATTATTATCTGTTAACACTTTTTTTCTAGGAAAAAATAGGCAATCCGTTTTCCCTATACATATATATATCTATAATCTAAACAATAACCAATTAATATACCGCCTATTTACCCCCGGTTAAAAATAATTAATGTACTTTAATTAAGAATTGGAAAAAAACAAACTACAAATATTTATGTTAGCATTTTTTATACATGTTATAACTTTTAATATATTTGAATCTTATTGAGCTATTTATAGACATTTCATATTTTTTAATGTCTTTTTCCATAAATATTGATTTTCGTGCTCAGTGAAAAACCTTGAAAATGTAATTCTAGATTCCTTGTAGGTTGTTATTATATATATTAAAAAATATTAAAAATACATATTATGCACGATGTTTTTGTAAGAACCTTTTTGAAGTTTAAATGTAGAAAAAATTCGTCAAAATCACAAAAGTGTGAAAACAAGTTAAAAATTAATAAAATCTTCAATATCTATACCCTAGAATAAAATTTACGACAATATTCCTCATAAAAAGTTCTTTCTGAAACTAAAAAACTAAAAAATATACAATTTTTTTTTAGACATTAATTGAAGTTGGACGATATTCGATATTTAAATGAAGAAGAACGATTTAGTTATTTTATTGTAATTCAAAAATATTATGAGTGTGGACTTTCTATATTATTAAATGTTATAAAATTAACAACATTTTCGAAACACTTAGATTTATTTTATGCTATTGTAATTTTTTAACACGAACCTATTCACACTGTTCTACAAGTCAGTATTGCCTCGATAGCTTATAAAAATAATATAATAAAATATAATAACTATCCCTTTCATGCCTAAATCACTGAACCGATTTTGATGAAATTTGGTAAATAGATTTGTTGAGAAAAATTAAAAAGGTAAATTAGAGGTGTTCAGAAAATGAATTTGAGAATTAAGACTGACGGTGAAATTGAAACTTTTATTTGTTTATAAATGGTTGCTATTGATTGCAGATTATAATAGTAATAGTAGATATCAGAATTTTTTTTGTGTATGGATTGCCATTGATTAATCGGGCAGATCAGATTCAAGCAAATATCAAATTTTCGCACATTGCCTACCAAGGTTAGTTGCACTTATAGCCGCTTAGGCCGTGTCCGGAATCCACCTGAGGATTGTCAGCTTAAAACTATGCTGTCTATCCGCTATCTGACGTACTGGGTACTAGGGTGGCTGCAATTACAAAGAATTACACCCAAATGAAGTTGACCAATGACAATTTGTTTAAGAGTATTGTCATTTTTTAGTACTCGGGATTAGCTAGTTGTTAATTATTGTATAAATGTAATACTTTTGGTGAACATTAATTCTACCTACTGTTGCACCACACTATCACTGATAGTAAAATACATTTCTATAAAAGCAATACCCTTTATACAAACATCATTAAAATATATTCTTTTTGGTTTATAATGATATAGGTTGACAGAAAAACTAGGCTTGGAATCCTTCTTCGAATACAATGATTTATCATTTATTTAATGACGAGGTACACTCGACACCTATAACTGTACAGCAGAGTGGTAACTTACTTTCTTTATTTTTAAGAATACATTTCGTGATTCAGTGCACATACCTTCATCTGATCTTTAATAATGACTAATGAGGTATATTTTACTAGTTTTTAACAACGACTTTTATTTGTCTTATTTGTAATTATTATTATTATTTAAAAATATTTTCTATAAAATTTGCATGTACAATATCACGTTGATAGACCAAATCGGTGCTTATAAGATATTAGTGGAATGTCAGAGTTAATTAATTAAAACAACCAATTCAAAACCTTATTTATATTTCATTACTTTATTAATCTGATTATTCAATAGCAAAAAATAATCAACTCAAAAAAAGAGGATCTTGATGGTATTTTTTTTATCAAAATGTCCTCTTAGCATCTAAATTAACATCTAAGTGAACAACACATCATCCCAGTACCCCACTTTATATGAGAATATAATGTTTTTTATTCATTAGTATACCTATACGCCATGTGTATATGACCAACAATACCCCACCATTTCTTTTCTACTGGTGATTTAATGACTATAAATATAACGAAGGAAGGGAGCTAGTGAAATTTTACCCCTCAATTATATTTGATTTCGCACTCCCATATTATATTTTTATGAATTAGTATGAGATTTTTAAAAAGTACCTCTCAGTAAGCTGGTGAGATGTCACCCTTACTGTGGAGGAATATTATCAGTTGATCTAAAATATTTGAATCGTTTCTTTTAGGGAGGTATTGTGGGTAATTTTATAGCCAGGGGGTTGAATTATTAAACCTAATAGAGTTTTTTTTAAACTTCTAAAGAAGAAAAATATATACATAATATAAAATCAGCCTTTGTTAATTTCAGATACAGTTTAAACTGTCTACTGATTTGCAAACTAAGGCTTATAATCTAATACTTACAAACTGTATTTGAAGGGAAGGAAAATTACTTTATACTTGTTTTGCTGGATTGGAGAATTGGCTTATCAGTTACGAAACATATATATTTATTTATTATTTCTTTAACGGGTGGAATAAATCATAAATTATTAATTATGAAATTGGTGAGAATCAACTAAGTAAAATTAAACATTATTAGTAACACTTATTATTTGTGTTAAAATTATAAGACTGATGTTAATTTTTTATGCTGCGGAAAAATAACTTTTGGGTTCTATTGAATTCCAGGTGGCTCATTTTGGGATTAAACACATAATAAAATATTCAAAAGTTACAATAACGCGTAATAGCAGAGGAACCTTTATACAATTTCCAATTTATATGTTTAGATGTGATTATGAATAGTTAATATTTGTATGACAATAATTTAATGGATAAAAATGACATAAGAAAACAATTATCTGCTTACATAATTAAATCATATATCTAAATCAGTGTTTATAATAGCTCGTAAAAATACTATACACTATCAATTATCGATGTTTATTGTATCCGTTGGTGAAAATTTGAAATCATTAACCGACTAAGCTAATGAGACACAAAATATTATAATAATTATTGTGTAACGTATATATATAATACCGCTAACAATAGTCAACAATATGTACCTATTACCCAAGTAGTCTTCAAATGTAACAAACTACCTCAATAACATTATAAAGTTCTACATAAGAATAACATACATATATTATATGTATACTTGAAAATGTCACAATGTTGAAAAATATTGAGTTTAAGTTATATTTACTCAAAAGTCAGTTGCAATAAATAATTCGTACAAATTATAACAATAACATTTAATTCATAGTTGTGCTTTAATTGGAATTTGGTCAAATAAAACAACAAAACTTTGTAAATAAAATGTATATTACATAATGGACGTTTGTAATGTATACGAGAAAAAAATGCATTAAAAAATAAAAAGAGAGGAAACCCCTACAAACTGATTGTCCTGGTTGTCAAACGACATAGCAAAAAATTCAATTTCGTTTCAAATAGAAATTATTTATGTGTTCCTACAACCGAGGTATTCGACAAAAGAGTTGCTAGAATTGAAAACAACATTTTTATAAAATAAATCAAAATTAATTTAAGGACTTAAAATATAATAAGATATTTTATTTGTGACTATTCAATTCTTGTACAAAAATGTGTACCATACGTCATATACTGCAGTGTTGTAGACTGCATACGTCTTAACTATTGTACACATCGGAATAATACCTTATGGTTCAGTATAAATTCTCTGGGTTGTGTGACGTTTCCCGACAAACAGAATAATTCAAAACCATTGTTGTCAACGAGCAGAGTTTGCTCTTTTAGTATATTTCACAACTCTATATTATTTAAGCTAGGTATATATACATCAACCGTTATTTGACCGTTGGTTAGCGCAACCATATTATATACGTTGCCTATACAAACATTGAAGGTTTTATTATTTTCAATACAAGTAGCTACTGTAAAAACTCTTTGGGAAAAAAAAAAAAACAAAAAAAATTGCACAAATGAATGAATAAACTTGCACGGATATTGAAGGTACCTAGCATAGGTTAGGTAGACGTAGCCGAGCATACGTCTACAGTAATTTTTTATGAGCGCCTAAAGTTAAAATGTTGATAAAATTTATCAATATCACGAAAATTGGCATTTTTTCAGGTTAGAATATATAACAATTTTTCTATTTATATCTAAGTTTTAAAAATATATTAAAAAATTCCCCTTAAGTTTTCCTACATTTAACAAAATATTATAATACAAATAAGTTTACTGGAAAGTCAAGTTAATTTTTACGTGCGTTTGAAGTTACATATTAGGTATATATTCACTCGTAAATTAACTAATTCTTATACAACGATTTTCTTATTTTGTCGTTATTCAAAAACTATTAACTTGAAATTTATATATTATGAGTTATTTATAGTTATTTTTAAGTTTTTATTCTATAAATCATAAATGTCATACAAACATACAGTACACAAATAAAAATTACATGCCTTTCTTTTGACCCTCACAAAAATACGATTGGCATTTAGTGTGGTCTCCGAAAACATGATTAGGTCCGTTTGTTATATCTGCTTTGAGTAAAGTCAGTGTTGCTTCATATGTGCGATCTGTTTGTTCAAGTCTTCTATATTTTATCGCTTCAGTGACAGCATACCGAAGCCTAAGTAAGCGATCATGAACCACTTTCCGATAACAACCACGTATGACATCTCCTTTATCATTTTTTCTTTTCCCACTTATATCTCTAAGACGATTTATGTAGTTACGTAGTAAATGATTAGTACATTCTACTTTTTTTATAACAACATTTGTACCATATGGCTTTTCCAATCTTAAACGTTTCATAATACTACTGTCGCTATCTCCTTTTTTATAATATATTCAATAATACAACGTATAAGTAAATGAAAATATTTATGTAAAAAATAAAAATAAAGTCACTTACCTATTAACTGAGAATATATAACATTATGCATATGCAGACTTTGCTTGAACCCTTCAACAATAATATCGGCTTCCATCGCGGTTGAGGCCGAATTCCAATTTTTGAAACAAACATGATCCTGTGCTATTTCGTCACGGTTTTCAGCTAATTGACATATACAACAATATTTGTTTCTGACTCCACAAAATATAACTTTTTTTGTTTTTGCACCAATAATACAAGCCTATAAATATATTTTTTTAAATATCACGTAACATAAATAATTATTCATATACCTATATATTATATTACTATTGTATTTTTTTATTATATAATATAGTATAATAATATAATAATATAATATAATTATTATTTATTATTATAGATACATGTTTTATATTATTAGAATATATTTAATTTTATATGCTTAGACACTATGTTTTTTATAATATGTAGTTTATTTTTTACTTACAACTCCGGACAGTGCGTTGTATTTAGTTTTGTAAGATCGCTTACTCCAAGCGCCATCAGCGACTACTGCAATTTTAGGTCGTCCTAAATGGTCAACTTGACCATTTTCTATCGCTAATCGTTTTTCTTCTTGTCCCGCTAACTGCATTTCATTCAATGCTATGGTGTTCATATTCATATACATAGTATTATGAAAATCTTGATACGTTCTATTACACATATTGGGCATATTTAATGTCGCAGCAAATTCTTCTAATTGACTATAGCCTTGTCCGGTATTAACTGTAGCGCTTACTATAGCCATATTAATATTAACATTTTTACTGTTACAGATCTCATCCTCATTATTTATATTTTCTGTAATGCCACATACTTTGCATTTAAATTGAAAAGTGCTGAGATATCCCTTACGTATTTCGTTTAAAAACTCCAAATCACGGAAAGTACAATTAAAACCTTGATGGTGAATTGATTGCAGTGAATGAAATAGATGTTTGATATCTACAATTCGTCTACCTTCAAGTGTTTCCCACGGATTAACTTTTACGCTGATTTCATTTTGTGAAGGGTATGAAAAAGAGTTTTCTAAATTTCTTGAGACATTCATCGGGGTTTTTTTTTTTTTTGGTGTGGCTAGAATGTTTTTAGTAATCAATGTATTTTCTGGGGTTGTGGAACAAAATATAGTCGAAGTAGATGGTCCCACAATTATTTCATTTGTCTATAGTTTAAAAAGAAGTGTGTGCTATATATATATATATATATATTTTTAAATTAAATGTTTAAAACAATATAAATAATATTTAAAAACGCGTGCAAATTTTTTTTTTTTGATTAAAATAGACAAATAACATATGAGGAATCTTGTATTACATTCTCAAATCTTATATTTAAAAAGAAATTTTTTTATGAATTTCTAACTCAAAATAATTTGCAAATTTTCGTCATTTTTACGTAATTTGTCAAAATTTAAACTTTAAATGCTTATAAAAAATTGTGACAATTAATTTTTTTTTCTTCCTTTGAAACATAATATTAGGAGCCTTCTATTTTTTATTTTTTTACATCATGAAAAATTAATAATAACATAATTACCTAATTTCATTACTTACAAATTAAATTGTTCCATTGGTAATGCCGTAATGGACGATATTACTTGTAATGGGGTAGCTGCCGCTGGTATATCTATTATATAATATTTATATTTTATTTTATGATATTCCCTGATAAATCTTTAACAATACTTTAGCTTTTTATGTGAATGATTGTATTTATGCTATATATAGGCTATATATATAATGTGATGCGTATATGAAAGTATATACCTACCAATTAACTTAAATTTGTTGTATGTGTCAATGGCTAGGCCCACTCTACCAAAACCTGGCTGAGGAACCCCAATTATCAAATTGTTCAACAATCAACATACATGAACATAATATATATAGCATGCATTATTTTTCACACCGGTTTAGCCAAGTGAATTTCTAGATTAAATTTAGGAGTCATATTACTTTTCAATATTATTAAATTACATACCGAAATGTACGTTATACACTAATTATTTGTCAAGTTAACAATTACAGTTTACAACGATAGCTAAAATATATAAAATATTTTTTTTTTATTAGCTTTCGGCCAAAATGTATTACAGCTCATCCATTAATTTAATATACCTACATACAAAGTATAACGTAGGTAGTAAATATTAATTATAATTTATAGAAAGTTATAACTATACTGATATTAATAATAATAGTGAGACATAGTTTATCCTATAGCTTTAAAATAAATATAATAGACGTTTTGGTTTTTGGATTGAGCAAATTTTTTTGTTCAGCTAAAGTCTTTACTGCTCGAGTCAATGACAAAAATATTGATATTTTTTCCAGATGCTCAGCGAAAAATATACAAAACAGTTTCGGGTATTCCAGGAAAAAGATCGTTTCCTATGATTGGAACGAGGTAGATCTTTTGGAAATTCATCGGTTTGTATAAACTATAAACTGAATGCTTTTCACTTTTCATACAAAGGTATACTATAATAATAAAGCTTAATATATATAAAAAAATTAGATATATGATTATTTAATTTGTGGCCCACGCTCGCGATCGATGAAAAAACATTATTGGTGACCTACATATTATTATCATCGTTGACAGGAAAAACCATCCCATGTGCAAAACATGAATTTTCAGGAGACGAACACCGTTTTAAATAAAAAAAAATCACATAGGAGTTATTTCAAAAACGATTTATAGTTGATAACACATATCTAGGAGGATTTTTCTACGATGCAGATAACACATAGGGGCGATCATAAATAAATTATTTTTCTCTGAATCCAGAGAAACAAAACCTCAAAATCATAAGTTAGACACATAGGAGGTATTTGTTCCTGTCAGCTGTCAACGACGATATTATAATAATTAGTATAACTAATATGTACATTGAGTATAGCAACAAAATAATAAATAGGGAATATTCTGTATGCATGATAATGAAATTTTGATTAGTGTTAGAATAAAATATCTTAGCCTATATTTCCATGTTATCTTTGTCTTTGTCTTACTAACGCTGAATAATGTATCGAAATCCAGAAGTGCCAATGTTGTATAGTTAGATTAAAAATTAGAGATAATTGACAAATAATAAGACATAAATGTATCAACATTACTTGTGTTTTCTCGTTGGTTTTTGTGCCATATTTTAATTTTTAAAGTTCAAAAATAAATTATTTTATTTAACATAATTTAATGATATTATAGTTTTGTGTATAAACACTATAAACTATATGGGGTCATGTGAGTTTTCTATAATATTTCTCATACTATTAATTAAACCCGCATTCCGGATAGGTATTTAAAATTACTACTGAACTTTTCAGCACCTAAATTATCTATAACCATGTACCGAAATTATTTGGAACCTTTATTTTTTTTATCAAAAGCAAGAATCGGGGCGTATATCGATTGCGCCGAAATTACCTTTTTACCTGTAAAAAATCTATCGATTGCGCCGCGTATCAACTCCGCCGAACTTTTTTACATATTGATTCCGCCGGTTATCGATTACCCCGATTTTTTTTACTTTATACAGTAATAAAAACATTTGAAAGACTCGTGTTTACATTTATGTTAAAATATATTTTATTTCATTAGTAGGTATACACACTATAACTTACTGTAATGTGTATACTAACTCGTAACAAAATAAGTTGGAGTAGAATAATACACGTACAATGAACATATAAATTGAACTTTAAACTGTTCAACTGTGATCGGTCCACTTGATGGATGTTGATGGATGGGCAACAAGAATCGGCGGCACACAATAAACGGCAACAAGCCAGTGGCGGCACGCAAAGGTATAACGGTGACACAAAACCACGAGGTTTAACAACGCGACGACTTAGTATAGAACAGAAACGCATCGGTTGTAGGTACATGTGGTTTGGTCGCCAAAACCCAGTGAAACGCTGCGAGCGAACGCAACGATGCGTCGGGCTCGGCCGCCTGGAAAAGACACACGACCTAGGTGGCGGCAAAGCCTACGGCGGCGAACGGCCCGGAGCTGGACGGCCGAGGAGGGGGTAAGCCACCTCGTGAGCTTCGGCATCCGAGGCGCAGCTTTGGGGACATAATATGCCGAAACTACGGTGGCGCGAAAACGCGTCCGTGTTCGAACAGTATCTATAACATGATACTATATATGTACACAGCTATATTTATTCCAGTGGAAATCGCGTATTATCGCAACGGACAACGGTTTTTATATCTTAATCAATATAATCTATAAAAGGTGTATGAAAAAAAATAAATTTTATACAATAAAATTAAGTACAGTAGACGTCGCTTATAAGACTCACGGATATAAGGTTCAGTCGCATATTAGACTCAAAATCGTCTGGAACGGTCCGGACGTATCCAAATACATTAAAAAAAAAATCGGTTATAAGACTCAATACTTCGGTTTAAGACTCAAATTTCGTAAAATAAATAGTAGAAAATAAACTTTTTTGGTTATAATTTAGAAATAAATTGGTATTGAAAAATTAAATAATATTCGTGTTGATTATTTCTAGTTTCTGGTGGTACCTTATAACGTATAATAAAAATAAATAATAAATACATTAGAATATGTACATACATCCTTTATAATTTTTTATTAATGTATAATTTTTATAATATTTTTATAAGTAATATTTACCTATTATAATTTTAGTTTTTTTTTTTATCAGGATTATTAAATTTATTCAATAATAAATTATGTAATATGCAATATGTGTTAAAGTATTAAAATCAAAGCAAAATATGTAGTAAAATAAAATTTATAAATACGTAATTAATTTTTTTTTCCACTTCGCCTTTAAGATTCATTCGGATTCAAGCGGCGTCTGCTGTACAAGTCTTTTCGATCCTAATTCATGATCTTTAAATATTGATCAGTATGTTCTGCAGTGTTCAAATAATAGACATTTAGTGACCGTTGTAGTCTTGTGCGCGTCTTGTGTTACACCGTGTCAAAATTAATTTTGAAATTGTTTATAGTGAACGGAAAAATCAATTAATCTTATATAAAAAATTTTAATTTTATAACAAAGCGTAGGTATGTTAAATACTTAGACGCTAATAAATTGCAATGTGTCAATAAAAAGTGCACCTCAAAAATGTATGTTGGTCTTGACATGAAGATGACTAAGTGTACCCTAACCTATACTGTTAATTAAAAAAAATTCTGTATAATATGATACTTTGGTTATTGTTTAATAAACAGTCGGATGAATCAACATAAATAAATAACTGGCGGAATCGATATTCGGCGAAATCAATATAAACAAAAATCCGGCGGAATCGATAGGCGGCGGAATTGATATTAAAACGGCGGAGTCGATAAAACCCCAAGAACCGAACCGGAACAGTTATTTTTGGAGAACCTGTACCGGAACCGGTAAAGGTTCCAGTCCCTGCATGGTAGTAAATCTACTAGGTAACTAGGCCCAAAGAAGAACCAATTAACGTAATGATTTATAATAATATGTTACTTAAAAATTAAAAACTATAATTTTGGGTTTACTTAACTTTTTATGTGTAAATATTGTTACATTCGTAAATTTAGGAGGGCTCAGGGGGTCTTAACCCACCATAAGACTTCTGAGGTCCCCTCATATACCCCCTAATACTTCCAGAATTGACCTCGTAAGTATATTAAATTATGTTAATACGTATTCATTTTTTTTATTTCTAGCCCCCTCCCGTCCCCCAGAACCATATTTACGCATTACGCTTATGAATATTGAGATAGATCATTACATTTCATTATACGAATTAAGTAGGTACATCAGTTATCAATTTATAAATATTTTCACAGATATGTTTTTCCTGTTTTATTATTATTATTATTATTATTGTTTTATTATATTATTCGCGAACAAGCATTGTGGAACTTAAAAGTTATAAGTGTCAAAAATAGAGATTGCATTGAAAAATTACTTAGACACAGTACCCTATCCGACCTCCAAATGACGTAACTGCAAACTACAGAAGGTCCCGACCAGATCGCTACACAAATACAGGTGTTACTAACGAGTACGTATTTGTGTATAA